AAATAAAATAAAATAAAATAAAATAAAAACCTATTTGGGCAGCCATGACCTGGATGATGGAGAATCTCTATAGATACTCAACTTAATGACTTTGCTTAAGAAAAATCTGCAGACATTCTCCGTCATCCAGGTCATGGCTGTCCCAAAGGTGCTTTTTCAAAAGGTAACTGGACTTACTTGTTTGTTTTTTTCCTTGAAAATGTTTTGCTTCTCATCCAAGAAACAGAAGAAGCTTCCTGGATGAGAAGTGAAACGTTTTCAAGAAAAAAAGCAAGAACGTCTGGTGGCCTTTTGAAAAAGCACCTTTGGGACAAACGTTCATAATTATCTTACTCCCGAGTTGTGACTGATGCAAAACCGTTCTGCAAAATTTCTAGAAACAGACGGTCATTTTCCATCCAGGCTATAAAGAAAACCAATTTTTCATTTTGTGCACCACCATACAGAAAAGTATGGAATGCTGTTGTTGTGAATGTAGATTTAGCTATATGTGCAAGTCTGCCTGGTTTTTTTAATCTTTGCTTGTGACTTAAATTGCTTTGGGTGACTCTTTTGTATTCCTTTTACGCACCTTGCGTAGCATCCTCAGAAACAAATAATGTCATAGGTAATGTATGGAAAGAGGAAGGAAGGGAGAAGAGAAAGGGAGAAGGAGGGAGATTTTAAGAAATCGAATAGACTTCTGTTACATTAAATTAAAAAAAAGGTACCTCTTTCTCTGGCCAACAGCTCAAGCACTTCAGGGTTGGCTGAGCTCTTCTCCAATGTGATGCCAGGCAAGTAGACATTGGCACCAAAATCAATGAGGAGCTTGACAAACTCTGTCCTACAACCGTGCTTCAAGCAGACTTCCAGGAGAGTCTTGGGGTGTTTAATTCGGGTGATCATGTTCCTATCCAAGCAGTTGTAGTTGGGCTCAGCCCCGTACAACAAGAGGGTCTTGAAGCACTCCAGATGACCATAGACGGCAGACAAATACAAAGGTCCACAGCAGGCCACGGAGTTGGCCGCCCACTCTGGGATTCGAGGTTTGACGTTAGGGTCTGCCCCGTGTGACAGCAACTCCTGCAGGATCCCCAGGGCTCCTTCCCTCGCAGCCGTGAGCAGCGGGGTGCAGTTGTTGTGAATGCTCCCAGAAGGACAGGCCCCCGCCTCCAAGAGGACCTTCACGCAGTCAAGGTGCCCATTGTTGACGGCAACAAAGAGTGGTGTCTGGGCCTTGACATCCAAGCTGTCCACTTCAGCGCCGTGGTCCAGAAGCACCTTGATGCACCTGACGTGGCCCTTGGAGGCCGCTAGGCGCAGGGGAGTGCCTGGCACCCCCCAACCACTCCGACTGTTGATGACCTGTTTGTACCGCTCTTGGTGCAACAGTTGGTCCAACAGCTGGTAGCTGTCCTGGGACACGGCAAGACTCAGCTCTTGTCTTTCTCTGTCCCCATCTTCATCTTCGCTGGGCTGGAAGAGGGAGAATATCTTGGTGATATCCAGCAAGCTCATCTTGAATTGCCTCTTGAAGGGGACTTTCATCCTGAATGGTGCTGTGCTGGAAGCTAGAAGTCAGATAGATGGTGGGTTAATGACTTGGATGAAAGCACAGTATTTGCTGAGACACAGCTGGACCACAAGTACCAAATCCAACACACACTATTTACATGCAAACACAATGCAGTTTCTAGGGTCTGGATGAATAAATCAGTGTATTTCGGGGGGCTTCCCTAGCATTTCCCTATAAAGTAAAGAAAATACCGGAGTTGTCTCCTTCCTGGTAAGGTTGGGACTCTTCATACAGATTGGTAGGGGGAGGGATCAGTCATATTGCAGAATTTCTCAACCTTGGCAACTTTAAGACATGAGGACTTCAACTCCCAGAATTCCCAGCCAGCTGTGCAACAAAGATAACAGGGAGCCGGAGGCTAAAATATATGAAAACCAGTTGCATGTATGTGTAAGTTAACCAAAAGGAGGACTATGAGTGACATGTTTGATTTGGGTGTAATTCTTTTTGCCTGGGGAAAGACCCATTTCTTGGCATGGGATGGGAGGAGGAGCATCTGAGGGTACTGATAGTCCTGCACTTGCAACCATTTATTTAGCGACCATCTGAAGTTGTAAAAGCAGTAAAAAACGTGACTTCTAACCAGTCCTTAAACCGCTGCAGTGTCCCCCAAAGGACTGGTGCCGGTTGCAACATCCCAGAGCCACATGATCCCTCCCCATTTGTAACCTGACACCAAGTCAATGGGGGAAATTGGATTCACTTAAAAAACATGTACTTCCTTTAATGGCTGTGGGGATTTGCTTAATGACCATGGCAAAAAAGATCACAAAACCAGGCATAATTCACTTAACCACCTTAGCAATGGAAATTCTGGTCCCAACTGTGGTTGTAAGGACAACCTATACCAGGAAAAACATCCAAGGATGTCCTGAGCCACAGAATAGAAGCCAAATTTTGGGTAGCAATAAAATAAAATAAGCTTCAGTCTCTCTGGGAGCAAGAGAGGAATCTTAGACAAGAAAAACCAAACAGACAAGTACAGATTGAGACCTGGCCCAAAAGCAGTAACTGGGAGAGGGATCTTGGAGTCCTAGTGGACAATCACTTAAATATGCGGCAGCAGCCCCAAAAGCCAACGCAATCCTAGGCTGCACTAACAGAGGGAGAGAATCAAGATCACGTGTTACTACCACTTTATAAAACTTTAGCAAGACCGCACTTGGAACACCGCATCCAGTTTTAGTCACTCTGTTATAAAAAAAGGAGTGTAGGGAAGAGCAACTAAGATGATTAAGGGCCTGGAGACTAAAACATATGAAGAATACTGGCAAGAATGTCTAGTCCAGTGAAAAGAAGGACTAGGGAAGACATGACAGCAGTGTTCCAATATTGGAGGGCCTGCCGGAAATGTTCTCCAAAGCCCCAGAAGGCAGGACAAGAAGCAACGGATGGAAACGGATCAAGGAGAAAACCAACCTAGAACTAGGGAGAAACTTCCCAACAGTGAGAGCAATTGACCAGTGGAACGTCTTGCCACCAGAAGTTGTGGGGGCTCCATCACGGGAGGCTTTTAAGAAGAGACTGGACAGCCACTTGTCTGGAATGGTATAGGGCCTCCTGCTTGAGCAGTGGGGTGGACTAGAAGACCCCCAAGGTCCCTTCCAATTTTATTATTTGTATTATTCTGTATTACATTTTGGGCAGCTCCACCGATTCTGACCTCTAACATTTTACAAGCTATTCAATATTCCCAAAGCTAAAGATACTAGCTAGGATGAAAATTTCTGATAAACGAATTCCTGTTCATCCACAAAGATCTCTCACAGTCTTGGGAAATTTAAATTTAAACTCAAAAGTGCAGCGAAGAAAATCCAGGCACGCTATTTCCTAACTGAACAGCAAAATACAAGTGAGGATTTTATTTCCAAGCTCGTATTTCAACGTCAGAATTTTTGAAATGTAATCACTTCATCTGAGGGTTCAGCAAGTAAAATGTGTTTAATACTTTAGAACTGGATTCTGAACAGTTTTACTCCTGTCTAATTTAGCAATGTTTCCATACCGGGGGCCTCCATGTGTGCACCTGTATGAATTGGAGGTGCATAACTTACCTTTTTTTTTGTTTTTACATTTTCTTCTTCTTTAAAATACATAAGTACTTAATAAACAGTGTATTGTTGGGATCAATTTGTTTATACAAAGTATTAATAACTATCCAATATTTTTCTAATTATACTTTCATCTGTAGGCGTATCCACATTTTTCCAATATTGTGCAGATATAATTTTGGCTCCTGCCAATACATGTATTATTAAATATGTAGTCCCTTTGTTGGAATTTTCTGATAGTAGACCTAACAAAAATATTTCTGGTTTTAAGACTGTATTTTGCTTTATCATTTTCTCTAACCATGTATGTATTTTCCTCCATATTTTTTGGGTTTTGGACAAATCCACCACATGTGAAAGTAGGAACCTGGTATCTGATTACATTTTCAACATTTCACGGACCTGTTCAAAGATGTTTATCTTTGCTAGTCATGCTGGTGGCAAATGCCACCTATAAAATATTTTATACAAATTTTCCTTATAAGAGGTTGCCATTTATCTAATTCTATGTTACATCCAAAGTTCTTTGCCCATGCTATCATTGTTTCTTTCACTGGTTCATCTTCCATTTTAATACTTAACAGATAGCTATATATTTTATTTATTAATTTTTCACCCTAAAAATATCTGATCCAGTGTAGTAGGCTCTTTATAATATCCATCTATTTTGCATCTTTCATATATCTTGACTGCATCTGCAAGGATTGCCACCATGCTAAGTCTACATGTTGATTTTTCACTTCCTGTGTCGCTTTGAGTTCCCCATCATCATTTAAAATGTCTTTATAAGTTACAACTTTTGCCAAGTTAATAACATTTGGATGTATCGATGTTTCTGTCAGATCCATGTATCTGTCATTTCTTCGGTGGAAGAAGAAAAAAGGGGGAAGGAGACTGATAAAGAAATCCTTTCTTGATGTAACCTGAATATATTTAATCTTATATTGAATTTGTATAACCCACACATGATACAATGGAGGGAGGAAACCCAGATAGCCGGAACCTACCACCTCTGAGAGGCACAGCCAGGAGATGAGAAGACCATAAAAATTCCACAGTGAGATGTGTCCTGGGAACCTCTGGAAAAGTTCATTCTGAAAGGGGGTGGGGGGAAATAGGTATGCCCTGGGAAACTGTGAAAAAGATTGCTCCTTACAAAAGGGGTGCGGGGGGCAATTAACATACTGGCTTTTGTTTCACTAAATACACATTGAGATAAGGAGTGGGGGTTCTAAACTCCCTTATCTCTCCCTGTATGCCTGAGAGACCTTAGACGCTGCTTTGAACTCCTACATGAATTGTCTCATCTCAATAAAGGATTCCTTTTTGATACGTTTGGCGTTCAGAAGTTCATTCTTGTAAATTGAATGGGAAAAAGTTGTGTAGCCTGACATAAAGCAGTGTCTCCAACAGAGGTCAGCCCGGAGAGAATTTTTTTTTTTTAAGAAAAAAGAAAAAGAAATAAAAACTTTCACTCTACCAAGGGGACCCTGCAAAAGAAGAAAAATGTCTGAATGCAGCAAGGACCAAGGGGGAGCCGAAAGCTGGGGAGAAACATCGACACTTACCCAGCCAGATACTGACTCGGTGCACCCCATCGAAGACAGTGAAGCTGCCTGCGAAACCTCGACTAAGCCCTGGTGGTCTATAGGTGTAGGAAAAAGAGACAGCTGGGACGGAAGAACCAGAGGAGTAACCCTCACCCGGGGTAATCATAAACCCGGGTGGAAATTGGAGCTGGAGGCTCAGGAAGAATGGGGCGAGGAGCCACCGGCAGATGACCAAATGAGACGGTACATAAATCGCCTCATGAGGAAAGCCTTGGAGAACCTTGAGGTGAGGGAATGCACCAAAACGACAATGCAGGAGAGTGAGGGAACCAGAAAATGAGAGAACCTGAGCTGCCACCCCGGATCCAGCGGAGATTGAGTGGGCAGAGGGACAAGCCAAAGAACCAGCAGCCATACCAGGTACCCGATCCTTAAACACCCCGGATCAGGGGATTAACCCTAGGCAACCCAGAGACATACAATTGCAGAGGAAGATCCCGCCCTTGGGGGTAAAATTCACTGGAGATCCCCAGAAACTGGGTTTTTTTCCTGGCACAAGAGCTCACCTACATGCCAGAATATGGGAGGAATTTCCCAACCCAGGAATCCCGAGTATGAGTGGTCACCCTGGCCCTGGAAGGGGCAGCAGCCAGATGGGTGGTGATGCTCCACAACGTCAATGCCCCAGAATTAAGGAACTTCGATCGCTTCATGAGGCCTTATGCCACCGCTTTGAAGACCTTCTCTCCAATAGAAAAGCCTGAGACCACATCAGAGTCATAAAGCAAGGCCGTCACCCGGTAGCTGAATACACCGAGGATTTTCATGACCTGGCTGGCCGAGTTGACTGGCCAGAGGATATCCTAGTCTCTTGGTTCAAAGATGGACTAAATGACGACCTATACGCTGCCTGCCTGGCCCGTGGGGCCCCAAACCTCCTGCATGAATGGTACATGATGGCAGAGGAGGCAGAGATAGACATAACTCGAAACCGGTACTGCACTAGCAAGTTTTGGAAAAGATCCCCACCGCAGGGGAAACAAGAAGTCTTCAAACCCCAAACCACCATGACTCCAAGAACATCTGGTTGCTTTAAGTGTGGAAAGGAGGGACACCTCACAGCAAAATGCTGTTCGAAGACCCCTGTCAGAAAGCCAGACCACCCATCAGGGGGGAAACCTGGAACATCCAGCCCTCAAGGAAAGGAGACTGGCCTGAGGGGCTGAGTAGCTGTGGGATTCTGATTGCCCCCCCAACCCTGAGGAAGAACCCCCAATGCTCCAAGGGGACCTGAGCGATCGGGAAGGTGACCCACTGGTAAGCAACCCAATTGAACCAATCACTCTACCCCTAAGACTGTTTATCGCCAGCCGAGGGAAGGGGGAGGAAGTCGC